GCCAAACTTGGTTTTTGGGGGGGATGTCTTTGGGGGTTTTTGGGGGGGGGGGGCCCCCGGTTCATAATTAACCTTAGGGGGGCACAGTTCTTTTTTTTTTCAAATGGTCTTTCCCCCGACTTTTTTTGGGGGTTTTTTTAAAAGTTTTTTTTTTTGGGGCTTTTTTTTTTTTTTGGGGGGGGGAATTGGGGGGGTTAAAAAATTTTTTTTTTTTTTTTTCCCCCCGGGGGAATTTTTTTGGGGGGGTTTTTTGGGGGGCTGGGTTAAAGAAGGAGTTTTAAATTTTTTTGGGACCGTTTTAAAAAAAAGTGATCCCTTTTATCGAAACCCCCGGGCGGGTTTTTTTGTTTTTTCCAAAAATTTTTAATTTTGCAAATTTTTTTTTCATTTTTTTTCCCCATTTTTTTTTCCCTTTTCCCCCTGGGCTTTCCCATTTTCCCCCAATTTTTGGTTTCTTGGGGGACCCCCTAAAAACCCCCCCAATTTTGGTTTTATGGTTTTGGGAAGGACCCCCCCCCCCCCCCCCCCCCCCCCCCCCCTGGAAAAAAGGGGGGGGGGGGGGCCCCCCCCCCCCCCAAAGGGAACCCCCCCCCGGGCCCCCCCCCCCCCGGAAATTTTTGGGGGGGGGCCCCCCCCCCTTTAAAAAAAATTTATCCCCCCCCTTTTCCCCCCCTTTTTGGGGGGCCCCCCCCCGAAACCCCGGCGTTTTGTTTTTTTTCCAGGTTCCCATTTTTTTTATGTCCGCCAAAAGGGGACCTATTTCCCCCCTGTTTAAAACCCCCCCCCGTTTTCTCGATTTTTCCCCTGGGGGTATTTCCTGGTTTGAGGGTAAATTTTAATATTTCCTTGGGGGGGGGGGGGGGGGTTATTTGAAAAGGCTTTGGGGGCCAATGGCTGCGGAACTTCCCCTTTGGACAGTCCCTTTTTTTTTCTTTTTCTTTGGGGTTCCCAATTTAAATTGGGGCCTTCCCCGGGGCCTTTTTTTTCCTTAGTTTCTATTTCTGTATTTTTCCCCTGAAAACAACCGAACCCCTGTTCTTTTTTATCCCAAACTCCCCGAGTTTTATTTTTATCTTTAACAATGGATTCAAAAGGGGGGGGGTTTTGGGGTTATTTTTCTGCCTTGACCCCTTTTTTTTTGTTTTAAAAATTTGAGGGTTTTTCCTTTTTCACGTCCCCTTTTTTAAATTTTTTAATTTTTTTATCTGTCTTTAACTTCCAAGGGTTAAAAGGTTTTAAATTTTAAAGTATTGTATCACTTAAGCTAGCTGTTTTCAAAAATTTTTTTAGTGGCCCCGGGCCCAAAAGGTTTAAGTTCCCTAAAAATTTTTTGGGTTTTTTTTTAAATGATCCCCTTTTTCCCCATTAAGCACAACGCTGAAGCCCCAGGGACCAAAAAAAAAAGGAAAAAAAGTGGGCCCCTTTTTAATTTTTAAAAAGGGCATCAAATTTTAAACACATCTTTAAGTAGGGGGAAAAAAACCCCCTCCCCCTTTAAAAGGAGGGATGAGGGGAGGTGGGACGTCCCCCCTGGGGGGAGTTAAAAAGGTTTTGGGGGAAAGGGGGTTTTTTTTTTTTTTTAAAGGAAAGTTTTTTCCTACCCAAAATTAAAAAATTTTAAAGCCCTTTTTTTTTTCCCCCTAGAAAAAATTTTTAATCCTTTTTGGCTTCCCCAAACCCTTTTAAGGGGGGAAGCTTTTTGACCTCGGGGTTATTTTTAAATTTTGGGGGTTAAATTTTGGGGAAAAAGGGTTTTGGAAAACCCCCTGACTTTTCCGCGCACACATGGTTAAATTCCCCCCTTTGGGGGGGATTTTTAAAAAAACGTGAACCCTTTAAAAAAATTTTTTTTTTTTTTCTTTGTTAACTAACCAATTTTAATTTTGAAAAAACCTTTTGCCCCCTTTTTGGGGGAATTAAAATTTTTTTTTAAGCCCTCCAAATTTTTTCCCCCGTAGCTATTACCCGAAAATTTTAGCTTTTTTTTGCCCATTCTTTTTACCATATTTTTCCAATTACCCCTTTTTGTTTTTCCTATTCCCGAAGGAAATTTAAATCTTGGCCAATTCTTTTTTCTTTTTTTCCCCGATTTACTTTTTCCTTTTCAAACTTTTTCCATTTCTCCAAAAAATCAAAAGCAGTTTTGGCCGGGGGGGAAATTTTTCGAATTCCACTTCAAAAAACTTTTTTTTTGACCAATTTTTTCCCAAAACCGTAATTTTACATTTGTTTTTTTTAAATATTTTTTTTTCTTCTATTTTTTTTTAAAAAGGGGAAATTATAAATTTTAATTTTTATTTAAAACTAGCCTTTTTTAAATCTAGGGTTTGGGCATTTTAGGTTTCTAACCCTTTTGAAAAAAAACCGATTTTTTTTTTAAATAATTTTAAATTCAATAAAAAAAATCCAAAAATCTGAACCCAAAACCCGGGCCGAAAAAGTTTCTTAAATCCAAAAAAAAATGATCTTTTCGCACTTTTAATTAACCAGGGGTTTTTCAAAAAAATTTTTCCCAAAATACTTATGGTTAAAAAAAAAAAAAAAGCGAAAAGCCCCCCTTTAGAAAGGGGGGGTTTTTCGGGCCAAATAGGGGGGGGGTCAATGTTTAATGGAAAAAAAAGGATGGTGAAAGGGGGGGGAAAAAAGGGGGGAAAGAGGGATTAAAAAAAAAATTGGGAGGGGGGGAAAGGGAAAAGGTGGAAAACAACGGGAAAAAGGGGGGGGTTAACCAACGGGGTTGATTTAAAAAAAAAAAAAGGAAAAATTTTAATTTTTTGCCGAAATTAAAAAACCCTTTTTTATACCCATTTTGAAAAATTCCTTTTTTTTTTTGAAAATTTTCCCCCGGCTAAAATTGTTTAAGGCTTTGTTGGAAAGGCAAAAAATTTTTTTCCGCATCGGAATGCAAAAAAACGCGCAAAATGGTGGCGGTTTTTTTTGAAATTTAACTGATCACCCTTTTTTTTTTACAAATTTTTTTTTTTTTTTTTTTTCCAATCTTTCTCTGAACTTTATTTTTTTTTTTGGCTCGAATAAAATTTTCCCCGGGAACGTTTTTGCCGAAAATTACATTGGGAAACCCCTTAAGAGAAGAGGTTTAAAAAAAAATTTTTATCGCCCCTTAGTTCTTTCCCCCAAACCCTTTAAAAGCACCTCAAAATTTTCCCCTTACCTCGGCTCTTTTTACCATTAACCCCCTTAATTTGGGGGGAAAAATTCTTTAACCTGACCCCAAAAACCCCCAATTTTTTTAAAAATTTCCCCTTTTTCCCCTTTTTAAAAAATTTTTAAAAAAATCCCCGAGAGAACTCCCCGAAAACTTTTTTCCCAAAAAAAAAATTTTTCCCTAAAACTAAACCTCTTTCCCCCGGGCCCCCTCAAAAAAAAAACCCTTTCCCGGCTCTGAACTAAGGCAATGTTTGGAATTTCCTCCCAGAAGAAATCATTTAATTCCCTTCAAAAATCTCCCTTTTTGTACCCCTTTTAAAATTTTTAAAATTCAAAATTGCCCGCTATTTTTATTTCACCAAAAACAAAATCCAGCCTTCTGCCTATAAAATTAAATGAAATTTTTCTAAAAACATAAAAAACCTCGCCTATATGTTAATTGGGGGTTAAAACTTTAAAATTTTTTTCCCCTTAAAAAAAAGCAAGGTTTGGAAACCTCAATTCTCCAATTTCAGTTCCCCAAACACTACCCCCCAAACCCCCGGGGTTTATGGTTTGGGCCCCGCTCGGCCAAAAAAAAGGGGGGGTTTTTTTTTGAAAAAAAAAAAATCAGGCAAACCCCATTTTTAACCCGATTCCCCCCAAAAAACTTTTATTTAAAAAAAATTTTCATCGTCCCAAAAAGAACACAGGGGTGAAACAAAGAAAAAGCTTTTTTCACTCCCCCCAAAAATTGGGGGTTTTTTTTAAAAACAACAATTTAAGTGGGGATGATGTCCACTGCCTCTTAAAATTTCCTGGAAATTTTTTCCCCTGACCGGATTTTGGGGGAGGGGTAAGATTTTTTTTTTAAGGCACCGCTTACGCCTTTCCTTTTTTCCCGCCTTTTATTCCAAAAAGTGCCTGTCCAAAACGCTTCCTGTGTTTTTAAAATTTTTTTAAAGTGCCTGAGGAACAAATCGTTCTAAAATGAACTTTCCAATTTTTCCCCTGCCGGGAAAACCTTTTTGAAATTTTGGGAAAAGGTTGGTTTTCCCCTTTTTGGGTAAAGGGGAAGGCTAAAAATGGGCCCTCCTTAAATGGAAAAAAAGGGGGCCCTTTTTTGGCCCAAAACAGGCTCTTGGGAAAACCCATAGTTCCAGTCTTTTCTCAAGTCTTTACATCATTTGACTTTATAACATCAGTGAAGATGATTTATTCATATTTTAACAAAAAATATATTTCTGCTTTTACTATTGTGACATTTCAGGGTGGGATGTGAAATAAAAAAAATACTTTTTTTATTTTTTTCCCGCTTCAAAAAAAGGTAGGCAGCAGCCTGACAAAACCATGATGGCATTTATTTTACATCCAAGTATTATATAGTTCTTCATATATACACATACACATCAATTTCAAACAGATGGTATCGATATTAGCAAATACTGCACAGCCGGGTCTCGGGGCCGAGAAATGGCATCGGCGCAACACTAATATTTAACAAACTGGATATTGTCATTTTCAAAAAAATCTTTCTTGAATGATAAGAATGTTTCCTCACAGATCTAAGAGGAAAAACAGTCTGAGATCAGAGCAGAGAAAGACTCTCACTGACAGGGAATTTGCAATAACCAAAGCAGACAGAACAGATGAAGTGAGGAAGATGATGTCACTGCATCTCTGTGACACGTTTCCTCTGTTTGTCATCACTCTAAAATGGAGCTGAAAGCAGGAAGAATGAAGGACTTTGAAAAATGGGTTTGATCCACTAACAAGCTGCTGGAAGCCTTTTGCTCTATTGTTCATTGACACCTTCTATCTCCACCAGAGGGCGCCATCATCCAGTAGGCGGAGCTCTCCTTGTGCTCTGTGTTCCAGCATTGTGTCAATAATAAGTGTTGCTGTGAAGAGAACAATAGTCAGACTGAATGTTGAACATCAGCTAGTTTCTCCTGCTGATTTAAACCTTGTTGGACAGATGGAACATTGGCTGTGGATTATTCTAGCTGCTCTTTTCTTTGGTAAGATAGAAAGCTCAACATGTTTCCTCTTCAAACACTTGAACACATTACTGAGCTCTACATGAAGAGCTTTAATGTTCATTCTACAGAAAATCAGAGCAGATCATTTCTGCTGCCATTTGTTACCTTGTAGAAACACCTGATATGGTTCAAAGTGACAATGATCAGAGAAAATGACATCTATTCTACATGGAATAGAAGTCTTTAAAGCTGCTGATTGTTCTCCTTTAATCAATCATCTTTATTGATTCATCTCTTCCTCTGCATGTTCTGTTCTTCCTCAGAGTGTAAAGGAGACTCGGTGACGCAGACAGAAGGACATGTTGCTGCTGCTCAAGGAGAATCTGTGACTCTGGGATGTATTTATCAGACCAGTACTACAACACCTACCCTGTTCTGGTATAAACAAGAAGAAAACAGTTTCCCAAAGTACATGCTGAATCAATACTATCAAACAAAAGATAAAGCTCCTGATTTCAACTACAACCGATTTGATGCTGACATCAACAATGAGGGGAAATCCTTTAATTTGACGATCCAGGATCTCCGTCTGTCAGACTCTGCTGTGTACTACTGTGCTCTGAGGCCCACAGTGACAGGAAACACCAGAACTCTGTACAAGAACCTGCAGAGAAATAATGACAATACTCCACATCATCGACCAGAGGGGCTTCGTACATGAACTTCAAATAAAGCTCAGCTCTCAGGGAGATTTTACAGACTTATGTTCATTTTTCAATATTTCTTCTTCATTTCACATTGTGGAAATCCTTGTGATACCAATGTTTACACAATCCACAGTAGTAAAAATATTTATTAGAATATAAAAAAAATTATATGCACCAAAAATGGATCATTTATGTTTATATAAAGACAGATTTATATAAAAAAGATTAATAATTATAGGTATGCCTAAAATGAATAACAATACAGTGAACCCTCGTTTATCGCGGGGGTTATGTCCCAAAAAGAATGTTCACTGTACTGCAGGTGTAATCTGGCTATCTACTCAGAGTCACTTACTTTTATATTGCAGTGAACCAGAAAGCCTTGTATAATTCATTGAGCATGTTTGTTAAAGAGTCTGATTGCAGAGGGAAACAAGGTGCTTTGAAAAATGTTCAGGCCTATAATGTGGGAGTTACAGCCTGCTGCTAAGGAGCTTTTCAGAGCTCCAGCAGTCTTATGGAATGGATGACCGAACCAAGGGATGGTTTGTTCCTATGATTCTCCCTAAAGGATGTCAACTTTACCAACATCCTCTTCAATGAGGTCCAGAGGATGGTCCAGAACAGAGCTTGCTGTCCTTATCAGCTTATTAAGCCTCTGTCTGTTGTTAAAACCCAGAACGTTGGACCAAGATCCATCCATCCATCCATCCATCCATCCATCCATCCATCCATCCATCCATCCATCCATTCATCCATCCATCCATCCATCATCTAACACGCTTAATCCTAAGTGGGGTCTCGAGAGGTGCTGGTGCCTATATTCAGCTGTCCCTTGGACCAAGATTTCAGGTATATTTATAAAAAAGTGTTAATTAACTGCTCAAGCATCTCTGGCTCGTCAGCTTGGACTAAATGACTGGAATCTCTGTAGCTGTAGAAACACGGGTTAGTGACCACGTAACTCTGACAGGGGACAATAGCTAGCATGTGAGTCACTAACCTGGTTATTCAGTCCGAGCCCAGAGGAAGGAATGGAATCTAGCCTTATGATTTTATCACAGTATGCGGCTGAAGCTGCCTAGAGAGTTCCAGGTCTTGAAACCAAAGGTGCTGCAGAGAAGGCCAATGAGCAGAATCCAAAGCTGTGTCAATGAAGAAGCAGAAGTCCAGGCCAGAAGGTCAGAGATCTGATGAGGTACCATGGGGAAATCCGAGCCGGGGCAAGGATATGGATCCAAGGTCGTTAGCAGGCAGAATCCAATGGAAGTCCGAAAACTGGTCAGGCAAACAGATCTGAACAGGGGCAGGCAAACTCAGAGGTTCAAGGGCAGAAACTAGGAAGGATCAGGTAATCAGAATAACACACTGAGTACTGTTTTTGTCCTCTCTGCTTCTAGGAAGAACCTGTTTGAAACCTGAAACTTTGGAAGAGTTCCTCTGTCTGAAACCAGTCTGCCTGATTACTGAAGGACCCTGGAGATCAGAAACTCAGGAAGAGTTTCTCTGTTTCAAACCAGTCTGTCTGATCAGAGGCGATTCTAGAGTCTGTGGGGGCCCCAAGCAAAAAATCCTAGGGGGCCCTACTGACCAGTGTTCATCACCATTATGTTAGGCTATAAATAATCTGACACCAAAGAAAAATGTATTAAATAAAACTTTTTTTATTCCAAATTTTCTAAACATGAACAACCTTGTTATTTTGGAAAATATAAAAGAATAAAAGTAAAGAATAAACTAATAAATTAAAATAAATGTATAATAAAATAAAATAAACAGTAAATTACTTTAAAAACCCAATATAAACTTTGTACAAAATATAAAGTATAGTAAGTGTAGTGAAATTATTGGGGTCCTATACTGCTTCCAGAATTGCTGCTTACGGGCCTTGGCTTGTGCAAATGCAGACACTGAGGCCCCGTCCACACGAAGCCAAACCCTGGCCTAAACGCACAAATTTTTCACCAAACCAGCCTCTCATCCACATGAAGCCGGCGTTTCGGGGGTCTGTAAACGATCTTTTTTTTATTCAGCCTTCAGAGTGGGAAGATTTTGAAACGGCGTTTTCGCGTTTCCATCTTTAAGCTCTAACTGCATTTTTTTTTTACACGCATGCGTCATAGCGTCGCCTCTAAACAAGCATGCGCGACACAGTATCACAGCAACAATGGCGCCGTATTGTGTTGAATGCTTGCTGCTAATGCTACTCACCCTGCTGTCGGGCTTACAACAGAATCTTCTTCTTCTGGAATATCTCCAGGAAGAACAGAGCAATATCGACCACATAGTTCAGCACCTGAATTTGACTGAACCACGAAAATGGACCCGCAGGGCAACCATGCATAAATATTACTGTACTGCGCATGCCCAACATTTCGTCACCTATTTTTGCTTTGGCACCACAGCGCCACTTACAGGCCTGGCATACATTTTGCAGCGTTTTCATGCATTCGTGTGGACGATCACATTTATTTTACGTCTCCGCCTTTACGACAAACGTTCTGGAAAATATTAGCGTTTTGTGTTTGTTTTGACTTCGTGTGGACGGGGCCTAAGTCCTCCAGATCCAAAGACCTTCGCACACTATACTCTATAGAAATAAGCGCCAGTCCTGAAAGTCTCTCTTGAGACATGGAAAATGAATCATTTTCCTTCAGCTTAGTTACATTATTGCTTTCCAATTTACTGAACGATAGGCCTACAACGTCACCCATTTGCTAGGCTACGTTCATTTTCATTAAGGGATGTCATCCACCTGGGCTGGGCTGGGCTGGATTTTGACTGGGCAAAGCCAATGTCAATCAACATTCCATCCAATCGGAATTTTTAAATGCAGTTGTGCATCTCCTCAGTCACTATAGCGTTGCCACTTCATGCTTGCCTGTTGCTGTTTATCTACCGGGTGTACAGTAGCTGGCTCTCGGGGGCCCCCCAGCGGCTCGGGGCTCCAAGCAGTTGCTTGGTTTGCCTGTTGACAAGGTGCGCCTCTGTGTCTGATCACGGAGGAACCCTGGAGAATCAAACCTGTCAGCCTTCAGCCTGCCGTCAGCCTCCGGACCCTCCAGGTTTCCCCCTCTGCTCAAATCTCTGAACAGGTACAAACCTGCGCTCAATCTACCAGCAAGATTACCCGGCTTCTGCTAACCATTCTGTCCCCCTTTGCAGTGAGCATCAGTCGTGACAAGTCCTGGACCAGATAATCCCCTGAACCAGTTCTGTATTCAAACCTGTGTTTCTAAATAAACCTTTGAACTTTTTCTCCAGTCTCAGAGTGTGTTCTGCATGTGGGCTAGTAACCTGATACCCATCATGACAGGATTACTATTTTTTCTGTTTCCTTTCAAGTGAAAATGAAATCTGGTTTTGCTTAGTCTTCTCACAAACCTCTTTATGGTTTGGCATCCCTGTGGAAAAAAATGTAGGTGGGTTTATTCATTCAGATCTATTGATAAACAGCAAATCATTGACCATTAAAAACTGAAATCAAAGTGAAACATAGGCAAAAAGAATATTACATTTATCTACTTGTTTTTACATAAGCAGAGGCGGTCATAGGTTCAGGAAAGAAACCTCCACCCAGAAACACTGCAGTTCATCCTCTAACAGTGGAGCAGATCTTTAAACTCACATGGAAACTGAGAGGCATCATTGAGCTTTAGTCTGCATGAAGACAATCATTTCTGTTGTTTATATGGACTCAGCATATGATAATCAACACACTTTGATCAATGACAGGTTAAAACTGAAACATTTCAAATCCAGGCTTTGAAAATTGAAAAGAAGTCCAGCAGGAAATCGATATTCCAGAAAAAAAAGCTACAACTAAAATATCTGGTTGTTCTTCTCACAGACCTGTTAGGAGATGAAAGGTATATCAAATTAAGACATCAATTCCTTTGATATATTTTCATAGGACAATTTCTTTGATCAGGATTTCATCAAGGGATTCAGTAAGAAGCTGAATCAGATGAGACTGAAATGATTTTAGAGTCAATAAAATCCTTCAGATCTTCTCTTCAACCAGAGAAGCTGTGTGTCTTAAGCAGTAGGAGGAGGAGCTTGTTTTTGTTCAGAGCTTCAGGGAGAAGCTGAGTTGTTGAAGAGACACAAACTTCCACATTCAACACAGTTCAAACATTAACTCTGATCATCATGGACTATTGTGGACTTTCTCTACTTGTTGTCTCACTTCTAACAGGTCAGAATGAATCTAGATGTTTGCTATGTTTTATCCAAAGTGCTGTTAAACATGGTCCACTCTAAAACATTTGTTGATAACAGATTTGTCCTCCAACAGGCGTCCAATCTGATCTTCTGGTCCCAGTAAAGAATGAAGAGTTCAGCCTAGAAAGCAGCTCTGTAACTCTGTCCTATAATTTATCTAGAGAAGTTCTCAGCAATGATTATTTCTTCTGGTACCGTCAGTATCCAGGAGAACCTCCAGAGATTCTGGTCTCTCACTCTCCTTCAGGGGTTGAAGGAATTAAAAATGTTCCTGAACTGAAGATTGAAGTGAGCAAAACCCAGATGGACCTGCTGATCTCCTCTGCTGCAGTGACTGACTCTGCTGTGTACTACTGTGCTGTGAAGCCCACAGTGACAGGAAACACCAGAACTCTGCACAAGAACCTGCAATACTCCACAGCATCCACTAGAGGGCCTCACACACTGTTCCTCCTCTATGGTTTGTTAGGATTCAGTCTGATTGTTTGTGCAGCTGAGAATAAAGCAGACATCAGAGTGTTTGCTGCATCATTGAACTCTTTATGATGAGAAGGTTTGGATCATAAAGGAGGGATGATGGAGGCTCCAGGATGGAGGTGCAGCCTCTGCAGGACATCAGCACCATGGACAGAGTGCTGTTCCACCATCTAGATGTGTTTCAATCAAGTTTTGTCCTGCTGTCAGACCACTGATCTTCTACACAGAGATTTATGTCCACAGGCTAAAACCTTGTGATGCATTGAAGTACACTAATTGATGCATTCAGGTACATATTATCCCCAAAGAATGATACAGTGGGACACTTCTATTAATGTTTTAGAAACATATTTTCACTGTTATGGATTCTTATAGCTTTTCTATTTCTTTTTATGTTGTTAAATAATCAAATAGACCATACTGTTACAAAAACACTTTAAACGAATACGTCTAAATTGTTGTTTTTTTAATAAAAGTAATAACTAATTCACACTTAACTGAGAATATTTTTCTGCACCATCTTTGAATAATTAATAATTCAGCTTATAATGGCCCAAACTGACTGACCAGCACCATGGAGAGCAGCAACAGAGAGTCCAGGTGGATATAAGAGTGGAAAGCTGCTGATGTTCAATGTTCAGCAAGACTGTAGATGGGTGATTCTCTGAATACGGTGCACTTTGTGTCCCCAAAGGTTTACCTCAAAGATTTTCATATAAGGTAAACAACAAAGAGAATTTAAAAAGAACAAATGGAAAGATCCATGTGTCTCTGCTTTATAACACACATCTATATCCTAAAATTTACATTTTTAAAGATTTTATGGGCTGCAGAAGATCAGATGTAAGTGAGATGAGCATGTCCCCTCGCACCTAAAGTACTTTTTCACTGAATGTAAAAGAAATAAAATAGCTAGAAAAATCTAATTTTTTTTCTGCTAAAATTATTATTTGCATGTTTACTCAAAGCTGAATGAAAGAAATATGAGAAAAATAAACAAATTATTGACAAAATAGCACTATTTGATCATGTCCCTCAGTTTTTGTTCAACCCCGTAACGGCATACCAATGTCCCCTTTTTTAAAATATTGATTCAGTCCAACTTCAATTACACACAGGAAGTGACATCACTCAACTCTTTTCCCTCTCAAACTGTGAAGAGAGGTAAGTGTAAGCTTACTTTCTCACCTACATTTCATCGTTTTTATCAATAAATTAGCATCGTCAACCTCAACCTTTCAACACTGTTACATGTATAAATGATATTTAATATTGTTTGGGAGAAATAAAACAATTATCTTTGAAAAATACTTGAATTTCTTGTTTTCCACATGCCATAAGCTACACCATACTGCTAGCTAATGTGGACTTATAACTACTTTTAGCTTTAATCTTCAACCCTGTAACATTCAACCCCATAACAAAAAACACTGTTACGGGGTTGAATTATTGTTACGGGGTTAAAGTTTGTTCTGTTGTTAAGCAAGTCAGTCCCTTTTCTCTAAATGTTATTTCATACATTATTTTCAGATATCTGATGGCTCAATCAAATGCAGAGAGGCAAAGAGAATACAGGGTGAGAAGAAATGCAGATTCACAGAGAAGAGAAGAATACCTCAGGAAAGAGCGTGAGCAATGGAAAAAAGATAGAGAAGCATGGGAAAAGAAATCAATCAGTGACCTGAGTAAGAGAGCTTGAAGACGTAAGCAGAGGGAGTGGCGGAAAGCTAAAGAGCGACAGAAAAGGAAGGCTGAGATTGAAAATGTTGGGTCTGCCTCTCTAACCCCTCCACATACTCATGAATGTGACATTCAAAATTAAGTCCAAGCCAGACCAGGGTCCTCACGGTGAGGGAAATATAGTTTGAATTATAGTTGACTTTAATGATGATAGTTTTAGAAACACTACTTTTTACTCTGCTTTATACATGACTAATATGTTTGTTGTAGTAGTTCCTAAGAAATGAACATTTGTAACATGGAAGCTATGGTTTATTGCTTTTAGAACACACGCACACCCTCACACACACATATACATATATATATATATATATATATATATATATATATATATATATATATATATATATATATATATATATATATATATATATATATATATATATATATATATATATATATAAATAAACACACACATATATAGTAAGCCTTGTGGTCAGTCATTGCACCATAATTGCTATGTCTCTAGTCATCAGGCTTCAGACATAATTGAGGTGTCCGCTCCGGAATCAATTTTAAATGACACTGGCGTATCTGCTACATCTAGAGTGGTGCGCCATGGTGGCTCATCCTCTGCTAGTGGTGCATCCGTTTGTTTTAGCTCCACTGAGCCCAGGAACACTGTCTCATCATCACCAGCTTCGGTAACCTCTTGTACAGTTTTTGAGTAACACGCAGCTGCAAAGTGCCCAATTTTATTACACTTCATGCACTTTTTGCCTTTTGCACTGCACTGCTTGGCCTCCATATGATAACGCCCGCATCTCGTGCATGCTCCTCGCTTTGTCTTTTTGTTTCCCTTCGGCATGTTGTGGAATTTCTTATATTCGGTTTTCCTCACTGATTTTACATTGTCCACGTGCTCTGCGCCGTGCCCCCTGTCTGTATTCTGTAACTTAATCAACTCACAATGCCTGGCTGTTTCAATGGCAGTCTTCAGTGTTAAATCACTTTTCATTTGCAGTCTTTGTGACACTTGTTTATCCCGAATTCCAATCACAATGCGGTCCCGCATTTGTTCCTCTTTTAGTGCTCCAAAGTCACAGTTTTCAGCTAGCTCATACAGTTGCCTTACGAATGCTTCCACGCTCTCGCCTGGTTGTTGAGCTCTTGAGTGGAACTTGGCGCGTTCATAAATCACGTTTCGTTTCGGGATGAAATGTTCTTCGAATTTAGCCATTACAACGTCGTAAACTTCGGCATCTGCTGCATTAGTAAACGTGAAAGCCTTGAATATGTGCTCTGCCTCCGCTCCCATGGAATAGATCAATGCATTTACCTGCACATTTTCCTCCTCCTCCGCGAGCAGTGAAGCTATGCGGTACCTGCTGAATCGTAGCTTCCAGTCAGGCCACGCTTCGGGCTTAGAGAAGTCGAACTGCTCCGGTGGGTTAAACTTTGCCATGGCGATACACACTTCGTTTTTTTTTTTTTTCTTTTTCACGTCCGACGTTACACAGCTCCAATCCAGTTCTCTTCTGACACCATGTGGCGTTTACGTCTCAAGTAACGCTCGCTGGACGACAGTATTTCTAGCGAAAATAGTTTATTGAACACAGACACGACCGACTGATGACGTAGCACGTACAGACTGCTTCAGTGACTGACGTACATCACGCGCTGCGTGCATAGAACTCAAAGCTGCGTCACATATGCGCAGTATGCAATATTGTGCACTTAAACTTAGACTCTACATGACAGCCTCTAACTGTTTTTACCGTTTCCTGGACAGTTTAAGGGAAACCTAAATCCCTTTTCTTTTTTTAAATTCAGATTATAAAAATAAAAATAAGAGTTTTATTGTCATTCCACAATTACATAAATAAGTTCCATTCATGTTATGCAGCATAAAAAAAATTCCTTGAATAACTAATTGTGAACATTTATTTAATTGTTATATTCCGTTTTCCAACACGCTTCTCTCTGCTAGGCTCGCGGGGGGTGCTGATGCCTATCTACACCCTGAACAGATCCTCAGACCTCTTGTGAGACCATATGCTGGAGTTTATCCAGCATCCCTGGAAGATGAAGGCATTGAAGCTATGGAATGGCCAACCGTTTCTCCAGACCTGAATCTAATTGAGCACATTTGGGACTTCATGTCTTGATCCATCCACCAAGGTCATGTTGCACCACAGATTGTCCAGGAGTTGGAGGATGTTTTAGTCCAGGTCATGGAGGAGAACATCTGCCACCTCATCAGGAGTCATATAGGCACATAGAGGCCACAAACAATAATTAACCTAATTTTGACCTGTTTTAAAAACATTATATTAAACTTAAATCAGCCTGTAGTGTTTTTCCACCTTTATTTTGTGTGTGACATCAAATACAGGCCTCCATCACTTAAGAAAATAGATGACCATTGATGATTTTTGGTTAACTGTATTATCAGCCTGCTAAACTTTGTAAAAAACAAAATATTCAATGATAATATTTCATTCTTACAAATCCATGATTTTTTCGAGCGTTCCCTTTGATTTTTTTAAAACAGTTTTTCTAACAATCTAGATATTGTCATTTACCAAAAGTCTTGTTATGAGTAAATAGAATTATTCCTCACAGATCTGAGAGGAGAAACAGTCTGAGTTCAGAGCAGAGAAAGACCCCCACTGTCAGAGGAATTCAAGAACCAAAGCAGACAGAACAGATGAAGTGATGAAGATGATGTCACTACATCTCTGTGACACGTTTCCTCTGTTTGTCATCACTCTAAAATGGAGCTGAAAGCAGGAAGAAGGAAGGACTTTGAAAAATATGTTTGATCCACTAACAAGCTGCTGGAAGCCTTTTGCTCTATTGTTCATTGATACCTTCTAGCTCCACTAGAGGGCGCCATCATCCAGTAGGCGGAGCTCTCCTTGTGCTCTGTGTTCCAGCATTGTGTCAATAATAAGTGTTGCTGTGAAGAGAACAATAGTCAGACTGAATGTTGAACATCAGCTAGTTTCTCCTGCTGATTTAAACCTTGTTGGACAGATGGAACATTGGCTGTGGATTATTCTAGCTGCTCTTTTCTTTGGTAAGATAGAAAGCTCAACATGTTTCCTCTTCAAACACTTGAACACATTACTGAGCTCTACATGAAGAGCTTTAATGTTCATTCTACAGAAAATCAGAGCAGATCATTTCTGCTGCCATTTGTTACCTTGTAGAAACACCTGATATGGTTCAAAGTGACAATGATCAGAGAAAATGACATCTATTCTACATGGAATAGAAGTCTTTAAAGCTGCTGATTGTTCTCCTTTAATCAATCATCTTTATTGATTCATCTCTTCCTCTGCATGTTCTGTTCTTCCTCAGAGTGTAAAGGAGACTCAGTGATGCAGACAGAAGGACATGTTGCTGCTGCTCAAGGAGAATCTGTGACTCTGGGATGTATTTTTGAAACAAGTTCTACCTATTCATATCTTTTCTGGTACCAGCAAAAGGAAGGCAGTTCTCCAACCTACATGCTAAAACGTTACCATGGAACTGCAGAGAACGATCCAAAGTTCAGCATAGACAGATTTA